GAGGGGACAATCCACCGGTTTCCGGCAGAGAACCATGGCCTCAGATTTGGGGACGCTGACTATCATCCCGACCGCTTCAAACTCAGCTGCAAACCGCAATTTAGTTATATTTCAATAATTGTAAAATGTGGTGCTCGATCCATCTTGGTCACAACTCTATAAAAAACTAATGAAATAACTTTTATGTTTTGCAGATTTTCAAAACTTTCAATTTAGAAATCAGCCTTAAAAATTCAGAATTGGTTAGAAATCATGTCAAATGTCCCGATCTCAGTGATCTTATCTTCAAAGAGAAATCTGCACCAACTTAATCAACAGGTGAAAGGTAGCAAATCTTCAACATCTCACACTGTCTGATCATTTTTCCAGACTTTGATCTCCAGCTCGTCCGCTCCTGAACAAGCCAGATCTGATCAGTCGTGACGATTAAACCACAGCGAGAATCAGACCGTACCTCCTCTCTCTCTTCAGGAAACTTCCTTCACACAAGATCTTTTCTTTGTTTCTGGATAATAAACTCTGAGTAATCTGTCCCGTCTTATGTGCCAGCTTCCCCAGTTTCCTCTTCCTCTTCCTCTTCCCTGCAGAGGATTACCTCAGAGGAAGTAACACTCAGCTTCAGACACTAATGACATGCAGACCGTCTGCAGCACCACATTCAGACAACATGGCAGCAGAACAAATGGATTTACAGCTGAAATTGGTTTCCAGCCCCGGCGGTCAGCCGGCTCCGTCACGCTCTGATCAGCTCCCAGTTCAATGGGAAGGAAAATTAAAAATCAAACTGTGCTGTAGAGTGGCGGTGTGACACAGTCTCTGCTCTGTGGAGCAAAACTCCCGTTTCCTTTGGTACAAAAGCCCTCAAACAGCCAGGAGACACACAGGGCGCTGCTCTGTGATTGGCTGGGACGTGGTAGTAAAGGTAAATGTTGCACAAACGCCACATAGAGCCACTCGTCATTAACTCACAGGAAGTGATTCCCTTTATGGATGCACTGTCATCACACCACGGGTCGGCTGATGACTCTTACTTATGTAATATAACAGAGAGAGTGCTCCTTTTGTAAGACCGCACGGAGCTTGAACACACAGTGGAACTACGTTTGGTCATCAGTGCATAAAAACAAAAGGCTCCTACACACTTTATGATAACAGCATAAATGTCTGGTGAGTTGCAGTGATAAGAAACTAATGGAAACTAGAATTGACAAGAATTGCGGATGTGTGTCTCTGCGAACTCGTCTGTTTCCATCCATGTCAGTGAAAACATGGATGCTTCACACACAGAAGATCTATACAATCAGCACAGTTTCAAGATTAGAGTCACCAATTCAGTATCTGACCAAATGTCTCCCCTTCTGTTCCTGAGATATGACGCTGAAAATATACGTATGAAAAATATACAAAATATACGTATGAATTCCTTAGTTACAGTCAAAAACATGTTTTTGTAAGGTCACAGTGACCTTGACCTTTGACCACAAACTTCTAATCAGTTCATCCTTGAGTCCATGTGGATGTTTGTGTCATATTTGAAGAAACTCCCTCAAGGTGTTAATAAGATATCACGTTCAAAAGAATGAGACAGATGCAAGGTCACAGTGACCTTAACTTTGACCACCAAATTCCAATCAGTGCGTTGTTACTTACAACTGGGTGTTTGTGCCAAATTTGAAGAAATTCCCTCAAGGTGTTCATGAGATATTGCGCTCACAAGAACAAAACAGATGCAAGGTCACAGTGACCTTGACCTTTGATCACCAAACTCTAATAATTTCATTGTTTAGTCAAACTGGTTGTTTGTGCCAAATTAGAGGAAACTCCCTTAAGGTATTATTGAGATATATTGTGTAAGACAAATGAGTCCCTGTGACCCTGAGCTTTGACAACCAAAATCGAATCAGTTCATTATTGAGCGCAAGGGGACGTTTGTGCCAAATTTGAAAATATAAAAAACCCCTTAAGGTCTTCATGAGACATCCCGTTCACTAGAATAGGATGGACATACATACATGCATATGGACGGACAAACCAAAAACATAATGCTCCGGCAGCAGCTATCGCTATAATAATAATAAAAAATAATAATAATAATAATAATTAATGACCTTAGATGAGTTTAAATCCATATCAAAAATTCACATTTAATGTGGATACAGCAAGAGCGCTTTTAAAATCACTCAGCATTGATCTATAAATCAATGAGTGATTCTTCCACTCACTTCCTGTCTGCTGTTCATAGCTGCTTTATAAATAATAAATAAAATAAAATACAGTCTGAGACTGGCCACATTTTATATTTACATTATGAACTATCTGATCAAAGAATAAACTGTAAAGCAGCATCCCATGTCAGCCTTCAGTTTGGTACGTTGGTGCCACAAAAGTACTGCGGTTTGATACCCTGCTGTAACTAGTTTATGGATTTACTGTACAAAATGGTGGTGAACACTTTTTTTACTCTCATTCAAACAGTTTAATGTCTGATATTCACCTTTCACCTGTGATTCAGTCTCTGTGATTTATCAGCGCTCAATATGAAGTCAGCAGATCCAGAATAGGACCCAAAAACAGGCTACGTAATGAAGATCAATATTTCCTGCTTTGCAAGTATTAAAAACTGTACAGAAGTACAGAAGGTTAGCTTTAAATGTTAGCTGTGTTGGGTCAGGACAGATACTCTGCTTGTGTTTAAACTAACTTTAAAGTTGATGGTTTGAATTATTTTGCTTTTATGTTAAAATGACCACAAAAAAGGGTTCGGGAGAAGAAAAAAAAAGCTGAAATGTTAAAAAACTTGTCACAGTCTCAACGATCTATGAAAACATTCCTGGATCAAATATTCCTTCTTCTTCAGTCTGTAAACTAAACTTCCACTTTTCAATATCGTCTGTTAAAGCTCTCTGACCTATAAACAGGACTGAAAACAGTTGTTCATGTGTTTATAATTCTGGCAATTATTTTCACAAAGTTACAATATGTTACTGTAATATTTCACAGTAAATTACATCATTATCACATTGAAGGCTACAACTGTGATATTTAACTGTATTTGTAATTTTATTGTGAAATTCATGCAGGTAAATATATTATTTTACAGACGCATGCTGCTAAATCACAGCAATTTATGGAGTTTGTAAGATTAGAGAGAAACACAGTAACTTCACAGGATCATACTGCTGCACCACAGTCATCTAACGGGCTCTCACTGTGGGGTTACAATTGAATATAGTCATTTCACAGGAGCATGCTGTTATATCACAGTAATATGCAGTCATAACTACAGTGAGATCACAGCTGTTATTTCACAGTAATTTACTGTGAACGTACAGACAAAAATTTTACAACGTACAATTCAGTGTGGCAGAAATCCCTTATTTTTAATTGTGTTCTCTATCTAGCACCTGGATGTTTATAGCACACAAGATGTTTTACATCTCGTACATGACATGAATGCAGCAAATCCACGGCTACATGCAGCTCAGCACTGTAGATATCTCGTCTGGTTCCAGACTTCTGAATCACCTCCCACGTCTCAGATTTTTAAAGTTTTAAACACTTCCTGGTCTCCATGGTCTGCATGCCAGGTCATGATTAAACTCTTTCTTTCGTTTTGTTTTCCAGCAAGAAAAAGCACTATGAAGATATTCACAGGATGTGTTGGCACAATCATCAACTAAAATGTTGAACATCATCAAAATCACATGAGTCTTTTTTTAAATCATGACTTTCCTAAGAGATGATTCTGATTTTGTATGAATATAAATATGCTCTCCTGGCTGTGCTAATTCTCCAAAACAGTTTGTCACGTCATCTTAATCATCATGGCTACAGGACATCCTTTAAAAAAAAATAAGGTACATTGTGTTAGATTACTCATCATAATGAGTGTAAACAGCTTCCAGGCCTGAGGCAGACTACCTGCCCTCCAGAGGAAGCACTGGACCCGGTCAGCAGGCCGCCTCAGGTGGGTTGGTTCCTAATATAAACTTACAGCTGATACACCAGCACGCCAACGTTTCGTGACTCAACTAAATCACGCACTTCATGGAAATGCACCGTCTGTGCGTCCGTTATCGGACACCTCGCTACTACACGTTCATTATCGGACACCTTCCAGCAGGACCCTCGTGTCAGGGCCCGGGCTCTGGATGGTCCCGATTGTTTTGTTCTGGTCAACACATGATTGTTAGAAAGAGATTAAAGTTTCTCGGGAAAACACCAAAATAATGCCAGGCACTGACAGTACGCTGCATGTCCGATAATGGACCTCACACACAGGGTTTTCTGCGCTGCACAGGTAATCGACCAATAACAACAGAACAGCGCAGGTTGGCTGAGTTGTAGCTCATTATAAATATATAAGCTGACACTACAATGTCACACAACTACTTACAAAGGACACAGTGACGTTTACCAAGTCTGAAATCACAGCCACAGCTAACCTGGTTAGCAGGTAGCGCAGATAGAACACTGAGTGAGGACAACATTGAGCCAAACAGCCATTTAAATATTATGTAATTACACGTCGTCAGGCTTGACATTGACACACAAACCTCGGGTACAGTGTTGGATGTATTTTCTGGGTGCACACGGGCCTGTCCTTTAATTCGGCATCAAAGTGATGAGCAGTACAGCCCGTATAACAACACAACTTTACATTTCAGAAAGAATGTGCGTCATTCCGCGTGCAAACCAACGTACACCACAACAGAGAGCGACACACAGTGTGAGGCGCCACTAAAAGTACAAATGTTATAAAGCATGTGTTGGTTACTACATTACACTGATGCCGAATCAAATAATGAATGTTTCTCACTCAAACTATGCTATAATTGTGACTTTACCGGGAATATCTATCCACCGATAAGCGATGAAACAGTAAATCCTCTGATTCTTCAATGCGGTTTGGCGCAACATTCTCACCACTCGGGACGAGGCTTAGCTAGCAGACCACACAATGTCCGACAATGGAAACCTGAGTGAGTGAGGCTGCTTACCTGCAGCTCGGCCCGCTCGACCTCCCAGTGTGACCTCTCCACCTCGAAGCGGGCCCACTCATGCTGGAGAAAGTGTAAAATCCCCGGGATGTTGTACTGAGCCCTGGCCGCCTCTCCGCCCCCGACGTCGCCAGTCTGCGGAGCTTTAATATTCCCAGCGCCGGGCAAACCCGAGTTGTTGTTGTTGTTGTTGAAGAAGACGCCGGGGCCCGCCTGCTCGTCCATGGCCGGACCGGGGCGGTACAGCTTCTGGTTCGGTCCGGTGCTCTCAACCGCTTCGGTAAAATATCCCGGGGAAGGAAATCTGGTCCATCAACAGTCCTCTCTGCTGGCCGACACAACTCCTGTCTGAGCCAGCTGTCAGATGATGAGACGACCGCGGAGCTACCGGAATCAACACAGACACTGGACTTCCGGTGAGACATTTCAAAATAAAACAACAACGTCAATGTACATGTCGCAGCAAAGCACTGTAAATAATTAAATACACAACAATGAAATACATTAAAACACCAAGAGACTAAGACGAATTAAAAATCATGTATTGTGATCTCATTGTCGCTAGATGCTTCTTTTCACACTTAGGGACTGTTCGTTATTTATTAGATGGTGTAAGAAGGGGGAGGCATGTCAAAAAAAAAATTAAGCACTGGAGGGACTTTTATTAGGACTAGATGTTGACATCTCATACTTGAGACTGTGAGTGAAGGTAACAGTGCAGTCTGGAGGTTTCTGAGTGGGAGCCAAAAGGCTAGAGGCCGTACACATGCCGTGTTTTTTGCGCCCTCAAATTCATTGTTTTCAATAAAGCCGCCAGACGCTAACGTGCAGCTAGCGTCACTCTGGCGTGCGGCGCCCATACATTCCTGAGCGTCCATTTTCAGCTGCTCTGAGATAAACATAGTTCATCTTTTGCACACTGCACATCATGTGACAAGGAACAACCAATCACAGCCGACAGATATCTTTCCAATCTTCCTTAAATAGGCTATCAGTCTGTTTTAAATATGGAGGAGTTGATCATGTCAGTGCAGGGCTACCCAGAGCTTTACATCTGCCCCACAGACGATAGGCCGACACACTTATGAACAGCTCCTGGAAGAAGCTCAGCTCTGACCTCAGGATTTCTGGTAAACAGGCTGCAATACAGTCCTTGTTAAGACTGCTTAGCAACCTCAGACGCAACCTACCGCCGCGCTCTTTAAAGCTGGCACAGAAAAGGCACAAGAGTGGCACCCAGCGCCTGACCTCGCGTTTTCCAGGCAGTTAAAGACAACAGGCCCTTAGATGGATATTAAGGTAGGAGAGAGCAAGTCAGAGCCGAGGAGACATCTGGGTGGACTGAGCTCTCCCCCGTTGGACTGGGCCGTACACTCGACCTCCCCTTACTCCCTCATTTTGATGAGGGAAGAGAGAAGAAACTACCAGCAGAAAAACTTTCCTAACTCTAATCGAGGTGGAGTTTAACTGATCAACTGTTGTTGCACATATTTGCAATTGTGAGTGAAAGTTGGAGCGATGCTGGGGGAGGTGGTGGAGGTTTAGGAAGGGTAAAAGCTTCACTGGGGTCATCAGGTGGGTACCGTCCTTCACTGGTGTTTCGACAATAGGCCCACAGCACCTCCAGAGGGCTCATCGGCAACACCTGGCGTCCCAGTTGTGCTCCCCTCTGCTTCTACTCCCCTGTACCCTGCTGTTGTTAGAGGTGTTTGATGGTCCAAGTGGTGCCTTTCCTCTTAATCCATAACCACGTGACCTATCCCGCTGGACTGTGCCAGAGAGGGTTTTGATAGCCTGACGTTGGGCATTTCTTTAAGCAGCCTGGTAGTTGACTTGCCTACGAAGCCTCTGCAGCCAACTTCAACTGGGCAAACCTTTGCTTTCCAGTCACGTTGTTCAGCGTCAGCTGCCAGCATGGCGTACTGAAGGCTCTTGAGCTCTTATGTTGTGTTCACACTGGGCGTGAATGAAATAATTTGTGCAAGTGAATTACACATAAAGTCAATGTAAAGACAGGATTAGATGCAAAATACCCAAACTACATGGTGTGTACAGAGTGAGGAGCACCATTTCGCATCATGCGCCTTTTTGCAAGAGTTGAAAAATCTGAGCTTCAGCGACTAATTCACACTACGATAGCCAATCACGATAGCACATACGATGTGAGTTATTCGCATGTATGAAGTGTGTCAACACAAAATATTCTAGCGTTCTAGCGTTTGGTTTGAACTCAACATTGGGCCTCCTCTACAGCAACAGCCCAGGGCACAGTGAGCTCAGTGATGCAGACGAGGTGCAGTGAGGAGGAGCAAAGCACGAGGTCTGGTCTGAGGGTTAGTAGAGACGATCTCAGATGGGAAGCAAAGAAGCTGATTCAAACCTGTCAGTAACCTCCAGTCTCGTGCCCCTCACAGTTGGCTGGTGTCTGATTTTGGAGGGGTTCGGCCACTGATGGAAGTGTTGTGTTGTATGTTTCCTACTTTGGCTGTGAGCAGGGGCATACAAAGTGAAATGGTTGTATTTTGTATTCATTTTACCGCAGCATTCTTTAAAAATCACCAAAGCTACACCAGTTATCACAGCTGAAAACTGTAAAATCAGAATTCATCGTTGGATTTTCAAATTTGCGATGGCCCTTGGAAACATGATGTGCAACAAACGCTTCTGCCAAAGAACACATACCCAAATCTGAGCTTAAAATAGTGACATTTCATCAGAATAGCTTTATTCCACGTCTCATTTAAAACTTGGCCAAAAATAAATGGTTTGCACAAACTAACCAGCACGACAAGAGTCAAAAAACAAGACTTTATTCAGCCCCAGGATTTTGTTTTCAACTTTTAACTTTCAAACATCAAAGAGTAAGTTTGGAAAATCTAATAACTAGTCTATGGTGGAGGGAGGGTCATGAACTTTCCACCAGTCACTCGGTGAGGCTCTAGGAAAAATATCTGTAGTTTTGGGGAGCATAAAGTAAAATAAAAAATAAAAAACAGTCCCTTATACACACTCATTATCACACACTGCTGAACTCATCATTAAAAAATAAAATGTGTGTTTTTTTTTTTTGTTTTGTTTTGTTTTTTTAGGATTTACTATAAATGTATTTCTAGTTCTCATTTTCCCAAAAAGCGTCAAATTATCGTCAGAATACTGAGCAATTTTAGCTAATCTTAATTAATTAAAAGACTTTCAGTATTAAAACGATGATCCATTTTAACAATCACAGGACCCAGTTTTTTCTCCACTGAATACTTCGAGTCTCAAAGCAAACTTTTATTTTGAAGGTACAATTGTTTCATTACCGGCATCACTGTGTCTAACACAAAATCACTTGACACACCTGTGCGGTGACGTCAACCCCGCTTAGTCCCACCCACTACCGTAAATTCTCAAAAACTATTGGCTGATCTAGTGAGTGGCAAGAATATCAAATCAAAGAAGAGCGCGCAGTACAGCGACAAACTTCAACGTTTAGTGTGCCACAGATTCAAGTATGGATCATGTTTATCATTACAAATTAATTTTCAGAAAGTTTTGGCATATTTATTTTCCTATTTGTGGTTTTAGAGTAAAAAAATAATTAAAATAAAAAGTAAATACAATTTCAAAGTACGTTTTACCCCATAAAGTCCAGATTTATTATGAATAATCAGTCACTGTGGTCACATCTGAGTCTAATTTGGCTTAATTATTGGCTACCTACTATGAATATAAAACAATTTATTTTAATTAGTGTGCTGGAATGTAGTCCGTGTAGTGTGTTCAAATGCAACTGACACAGGGCGACGTGAGGCGATGTAGACGACGCAACAGTTGGCTTTCGTCGCCGCTAGTTCTTTGATGTCGGTTTGGTGTGTCTGCACCTTTAGACACAGACGGCGAAAGACATCCTTTCACATCTTCATGATACACGGCTGGTTGCCATTATTGTTCAACAGCGCCAGGCAGTGTAGGAGGGAAACGGGTTGGGGTAACAATGAAAGTTAAGGCGGCAAAAGCCCGAGTAGGGTGGGCGGGAGGGGTGATGGATGTGTCCAACAACCGCTGACTTTCACCCAGGAGGCTGGTGTTCACCTCCCGGGTGACTGTAAAGCCAAACCTTGATCTTATTTCCTAAACCCAACCTTGAAGGTAAGAAACATCAATTCACCATGTTGTACTGATGTAGTGCTTTTATTTTGAAAGAGACTGTGTGCAAACTGTACATTTTATTTTGAAAACAGACAATGCATGTAACAGGCTGAAGCTGACACGGTGTCCCAGAACATCAACAACCAACACACCCAGGGTACCTTGGACTAGGCCGACCAAACGTCCTCTTTTGCCCGGACATGTCCACTTTTCACGTCCTGTCCGGGGCATCCGGGGGGTGTTTATAAACTGATGATAATGTCCGGTTTTCCTTTCCGAACCTGACAGTCATTCTGTTTTGTTATGTTCGAAACTGAACCGAGCCCAACATTATTTAATGACTAAAGCACTGAGTTTGTGTCATACAGTGGTTACAGGCTATATGACAGGCCGGGCGTGCGCCGTGGGTGCTCTGCGGAGAGGGAGACCTCCGTGTTTGAGACGGGAGCGGGCGGCGGGAGGTCCAGCAAGGAGAGAGGGAGAAATATAACAAAATAAGATAAAATAGGAGAAACCTGTCTCCCTCTTTGATTTTATTTTCAGCATTTAATCAAAACGGAGGCGGGCGGCAGAGAGGTAGAAACAAACAGCCAATGTGTGTGTGTGTGTGTGTGTGTGTGTGTTATGTTCAGGTGTTGTCACGTAAATAACAGTCCCCAAGCAATAAACAGGACAGACAATAGGATTTTATTTATTTTTACACTACATTTTCACTGAAAGCTGACCGAATCTGACCCGAGCCCAAATACAATTTATACATTTTTGACCGAACCCGGCCCGTAGTCGGGTAGGCCTACTGCCAGGACCCGTCGGGCTCAGATCGGGTAGCCACACTCTCGTGTGTGTATGTGTCCCCTATCTATAGTGGCCTATCTGAATTTCTGTCTTTGAGAGATATTATTTTGTAATATAACTGAATTTTCTATCCATACATACAAACTTTAAATATATTAAAATTATAAGGCATCTTTGAAGAAACTGTGAGTATCATTTAAGTAGGCTATGTTGTGGCCGGGCCGAGTGCCCTCTTTTTTGGAAATCAAAATATGGTCACCCTACCTTGGACGTCATGTGTGGACGTGGAAAGTCCATGACCAAACATGGACATGTGACGAGGTCACAGTGAGGATGAAAAATATTTGTAGCTTTGGGGAGAGTCAAAAACAAAACATCACACCCCAGCAAGGACAGTCCCTTAGAAAACATCTGTGTACATTAACACATATTAGTCATAGCCTAACCTTTCATTTGCTGCTGGTGAGAATAGTCTAACAGTCATTAGTTCAGGGTCCAAAGTTTAAAAAGTTATTCTTGCGTTTGGCCATGAAACAGCACTTCAAAATAAAAGACCTGTGCCACATTTGCGAGTCACTTCCGGTCCATTCGAAATGGACACGAGACCCACTTTTGGACCGCGACCCACCAACTAGAAACCACTGGTCTAACATAAATTCAGCCAGAGAAATAACTCCGAGAGTGAAAGGTGTGCCAACCAACCCCGGCCTCCCCTACTGTAACTTGAACACTGTGTGTGGGGCAGTGGGGCCTCTGTCCCCCCTCTGTGTGTGTCTCTGTGCGGGCTCTAATGTGATTAAACCCGCAGATGATTCACGTTGTGTCTGCGGCCATGTGCTAATCAGCTGATGCGCCACAGCCGCCTCTCCTCTATTTAACTGCTGCTCGGCTCAGACTCATGTTCAGCCTGCTCTGCCTCTCTCTGCTGCTGCTTCCTCCGTCACACACACGCACACACCACACACACTCTCTCTCTCTCTCTCTCTCACACACACACACACACACACAGCATGCCTCCGTTCAACAAAACCCAGCTGCAGAGCAAACCGTTCAAACAGAGGAAGAGTTTCGGTAAATGTCTCCAACATCTGTGTCAGTAACTCTCAGGACCTCGACAGATATCTGATGGTGTTTATTTTCTCTGCAGCTACACGGAAACAAGAAGTGGCGGGCATCCGGCTCAAGTTCCCCAACAAGATCCCGGTGAGTTTTCTGCAGAGATGTGTCAGCGTGAAGCTTTGCATGTGATGCTGTGTGTCCTCACCTGTCGGACGGGTGCTCGCAGGTTATAATCGAGCGGTACGAGAGGGAGAAGTTTCTGCCTCCGCTGGATAAAACCAAGTTCCTGGTGCCGCATGAACTCACCATGACTCAGTTTGTCACCATCATCAGGTAAACTTCACCTCTCTGTGTTTGTTCCAGCAGATCTCAAATAGATCAGGCTGTAATGTGAGGCAGGGGTGTGTGGCATGATGCTGCAGGCATGTGGGATATGACTATTTGCTGGAACAGTGCGGTTTTAATATTTTAGTTTGAAGTGATGTAACTAAAGATTATTTCTGTTGTAGTTTAATGTGTTTTATTGTCTCAGTCTTTTAAAAGGTCAGAGTATGGTGATAATGCATGAAACAACTCCTTAATGTCAAACCAATCCTCCAAAACTCAAATATATTGAATATATTGTCTCATAAAACAAAGACAAGCAGCAAATTATCACAATTTAAAAGCTGGAACTATAATTTTCCTTTCGTTTGTATTCCAAATGGCTTCAACAGTTATTATTAAGTAGACCCCTTTTTAATCTGCCTATCAATTAATTGTTTCAGTTCAAGAACAGTGTGTGATTTATTGTGGGGAAAATGTCTCCTTTAACTTTAAAGCTTCTTAAAGGGAATTAAGGGGAAAAATCTTAAGGATATTCACTGCAAAGTTAAGTTTTTATCAATTTCTTTTAATGTCTTTATGTGTGATACTTTTGCTAACTTACTGACAAGTTTTACCTTAAAGTGTAGCAGAGACTTAAAGATCTGTTGGGTCAGTTAGTGAGTTATCAGATGTAGGGATGGGGCTAATTACTGGAAATGTTAGGCTAATATAAACACCAAGCATCACGCTGAAAGCTGAACATTGTGAGTCCTCAGCTCCTCAGATGTTTGTTGGTCATGATTACACAGCAGAAACGGACGGTGTGTCCCTGTCAGTCCGTCCATAAGTCCTTAATTCTGTCTTGAAACAGGTCAAACAATCAGTGAGACGAGAATTCCCCGTCATCTCTCTGGACTTCTGGTGCAGCAGTCTGCCTTATGTAAAGTTTAATTTCTTCATCATGTGGTGAACATCTGATAACTTCGACACAGTCACTTCAGATTTTCTCCTCGTTATCTGTGTCAGAAAATTCAGTCTTGTTCTGGTCTCTTATAGAAACCTCTTTACTCTTAAGTAAATGGACCATTAACATATTTCACTTAATGTCACGCAGCTTTTTAATAGACTGTTTAATTTGAGCTCTGCATGGAAGCACACGTCTCTCAGGTCAATATGCACCTTTTTAAATTCACTTAAAGAATGATGTTTCTTGTCTCTGTATGCAGATAGTTTTGATTTATTTATCATGCTGTCTTTGGGACGTCTGCCCTCTGTTTTATTTAAGGGGAGGTAAATGGAAGTTGAAAATGATGATCTACAGTGGCTGCTGGCACAGAACACCAAGTCCTAGTTCAGGTTTCCTCAAAATAAATTGGTTGCACAAAAAACCCTTAAGTCTTCTCCTTCAGGGTTCCTTAAAATGCTCACTTAAGTATTAATGGTTTTCTCCTTGTCTTGATCTTGTACTTAAGGATTCCTTAGACTGTTGCACAAAAGACCTTAGCAACCAAAGCAAGGTTAAAAAAACTTAAGGTACCTGAGACTCTTAACTGCAACATGACTGACTTTAAGGTGATAAATAAGAAATAAGTAACCACCCTGAGAGGAGTGTTCTGCGACCAGGAGAACCTGATGGATATGTTTCTGATTTTACACTTTAGATTTGACTGAATTCCTCCAGATGTTAATCCAGGTGTTTTGTGCAACCAGTCCCAGGTTCTAAAGTTTTTATGGGGACTATTTCATTAGCAGATGTCAGTGTTTCGTCGGCCCTAAAAAGGTTTACACATCCGAAGAACTTGTATAATAATGAAGCTCAGGGCGGCCGGACCAGGCCTTCATAACCAGGCTATTAGAGGGGACCAGGATTATATCTGAAGGGTTACAGTGAAATAAGTAACTGGTAAAACATATACACATTCGTCATATTAAAGTCAATAATATCTGTTGAGCTGGTTTCAGCCTGAGCTTTACTGGTCCTCAGGGTTGAATCTTTTCAGTTTCATTGCTTCTCTTCAGGTTTCTGTGAGGTTCCTCATTCTGTCTTGGTCATGATTACACAGCAGAAAATGTGCAGGAGAAAAAAACGTGTCCGTCTTCTGACACGAGTCAGATGGCTGCTCTCGGATCAGTTACAGCTTCAGGTTCAATTATAGCAATTATGTAACATGTGAGGGAGAGATGAGAGCGTTTCAGTCTGATCTGATGATATTCTCACCACACGAGTTGGAATTAACTGAATTATGAAGTGACTGAGTTTGTTTCCACATGAATCTGCTGAAGGAGGAAAATTTCTCTGAGCTCGCGTTAAAACACTGAGTTGGACCTGCAGGATTTGTGACATCAGTTTGTTTGGAGCCAATCAGCGTGCAGTATGAAAGTGTGTCGTGAAGCCTGCAGGTCAAGTGAAGTCGGACATTTTGCATCGTAGTTTAAATTAGAAATGTTTTCATTCTGAATGTTTCTTTTAAAGGAAAGAGGAGTGAGTGTAATTTAAACCTGTCAGGAGTAGAGCGTCACAGTCTCGTCCCACTCCCACAAAAAAACCTCCTGCTCTGTCCCAATCTCAGGAGAATGACTCCTTCACATTCCTGAAAGAAAACAGTATTTATTTATTTATATCAGAGCTGCGCATCACTTTATCTGTTTCCTTTCTTGTATGATGCCTTTTTGAACTACTTTGTGACCTATGCCTGAGAGAAGCTCTATATTTTACTTATTTATTGGTTAATAACTGACCTATTGTTATAATTCCCATCCTGCCCGCTCACTTTTCTGTCCCATCACATCCCGTTGGAATCTGGGAATCCCAAAAAATGTCAGCCTGTAGTCCAGTGATTCCCAACCTTTTGCCTCAACCCTTTGAAACATGGAGCAACGTCACTTTTCTTATGCGGCTCTCAGAAGCCGTTGACGAATATTTAAACCTTTGAGCCCCGAGCAAACTGGTGCCACTTCTTTCAGAAACATGTTGGTAAGAATTGTCCCATGAATTGCAAAAAAAAGAATAGATTTAGAAAATTATTTTTTAAAAAAGCTGGGGGAAAATGTCTAATTACATTTTAAAATTATGTTAGAGTAATGATTTTTTTTTAAAGGTACTTTTCTTGTTTTTTCTTTTTTACTCGTTTTCTTGTTTCATCTTTTTACTAATTTATTGCTCATCTTTGGGGTTGTTTTTTTTCTTTTATCGTGAATTACTTTCTTGCCTTTCAAATGAAGCCATTAATCCAGTCAAGCCAATTTGCTCAGGTTTCAAAGGGTTAACGGACCCTTCTTCTGTCATTGAGTAAACTGATGATCCATGACATTTTATGGATATTTCAGAGATACACAATATTGAAATTTTTGCAGATATCCGGTGTGCCAATATGTAACAACTTATTAGGCTGATACTGATAATAGATATAACCTCTTTTTTTTTTTTTTTTTTTCTTTCCTCTTCTAATTTTAGTGATCATCAAGTCTCTTCTGTGGTGGAATTAACATCATATTATACATTCATCCACCAGCAGGTGGAGACATATAACACTGTTCAGTGTCTATAATATTCAGTCATTGTGCACAATAAGAAAAAGCATGTTGGCAGATTCTGATAGTTTATTTTAAAGCCAGTAACGTAACGTTTCAAATGAAGGTTGAATTAAAGAAGCAGTTCAGCCTCTTGTGTGCCGGGCATCTGCTTATTTACTATCAATTATTGTTGGATTAATCTCAACCTCGTGTTCAGATCATTATCACATGATGTTTTTCCACATTAGTGCTGTTTTTGTTGTGTTCAGTGTAGTGTTTCATTTTCTTTGTGCAATGCATTGTGGGACAGTGTTCCATCACGAGCACATTTAAAAATTGTACTTTCAGTCTGCATACTAACATTCTCACATTTTCCGACGTGAACACAGATACTTAAAATGCCCAGAATTCTGAGCGTAATCTGGAGCCAGCTGACACGTGCAGCCGCAGTGGATGGTGATAAAACAATAGTCGACCATGTTAGTGCTGAACCAGCGTCACATGTGAGAGGTGCAGGTATGTGAAGCAGCTGACGGTCTGCAGGACGTCCCTCATTAATGACTGCTGTCTGTCCTCTGTCTCTCAGGAACAGGATGGCTCTGCTGCCCACTCAAGCCTTCTACCTGCTCATCAGTAACAGCGGGCTGGCCAGCATGTCTCTCACCATGGCTCAGGTGTACAAAGACCACCAGGACGAGGACGGCTTCCTCTATATGACCTACGCCTCGCAGGAGATGTTCGGACACTGACGCACAAACGGCTCCCTGCTTTAGATTTTATTAGATGATGAAGGTTGCTGTAAATAGAAAAAAATACTTTGTATATATTGTAATATTTGTTGTACACGTTGATTGTGAGACAGATTTTAGTTGAAGTATGTGGATCCAATAAATCTTAACTATGAGAAATAAACAGGTGCAGTCTGCTGGTTCAGAAGGATCACACGAACATCTGTTTTCATCAGTCAAGGCTGCTCTTAAATTTATTTTACACTACAAATTGTTTAGTTTAAGTTGGTTAGTTCAGGAGTGTTTCCTCCCCAGTCTCCAGAATACATGTTGGCATTGTACATTTCAGCTAACCATGGATACGTTAAATTTCTGCGTAATGTAGCAGATAAGTTTAACCTTTGTCTTAAGTATCAAGTTCTCGCGGACTTGTGACACGTCATCAGTCGCAGCCCAAGTACTGTTCCAACTCAAAGTCGGCATCCAGCCAAGTACAGTCCAAATGCCCGGATGTGAACTTGCTCTGCCCGTTCCATCGGGAGGTGACTTGTGTGGACTTTGACAGCCAGGTATCCCAGAATGCATTTCTCACAGACCAGCGGCCATGGCAGCCGTCCTTGGGAGTTCGTACTCCCGAGTCGAACTTGCCAAGTCCGAACTCTGCGTACTTGGTATTGAGAAACGCCTATGATGTTAGAACATGATGATGTCACAGTCAAGCTGACCTTTGACCTTCATTATTTTATCCTGTTAGACATTTGTGTCAAGTTTTGTCATAATTAGTGTATGAACTCTTGAGTTATGGCCAAAAACCTATTTTGTGAGATCACAGTGACCTTTGACCACAAAATTGTAATTCAGTCCAAGTGGACGTTTGTGCCAAATTTAACGAAATTCCTTCACAGAGTTTTTGAGATATCGCATTCACAAAAATGAGAGACAAGGTCACAGTGACCCTGACCTTTGATCTACCAAAACAGTCAGCTCATCGTTGAGTCCAAGTGAATGTTTGTGCCAAATTTGAAGAAATTCCCTTGAGGCATTCTTGAGCTATCGTGTTCACAGTGATGGTACGTATGAAAGTACAGACAACCCAAAAAGATAATGGCCACAGCTGTCACTGGCGTGGAGGCAAAACATCTGCTATCAGTGGCACTGTCCTGGCAGGAAACGCAGTGATGTCTGGGTAACAAATGCTTTTCGTGTCACTATCTCAGGTACAAACACAGAAATGCCTTGCTTAGAAAAATGATTGATTTTTGTGCCACCACCCCGACAGGAAACAACAACAACAACAGGTCGCTGCTAAACACCCACATTTGATGCCTAAAAAAGCTGCAGCAAACACAGCAGTTACATCACAACTGGTTATGTTTGTTGGTCTGCAGCTGTGCCGGCGTCTCACCTGTATGTGTCCCACCATCCCCTCCACCTCCTGATGAGACTGTCAGCTCATACTCTACGTCACCTAGAGACATCGTTACGATACATATGAAATGTGCAATGCTAACATCTGTTAGCAGCTGGGCCGTTTTTTTGCTAAACCCTCTGTTAAAGGGTTCGTTTGGGAACTCTTCTTACCTTTGTTTCCTGTGTGGTGTCAGACAGACTTGGGCAGCTGTGGCTCAGAGGTAGAGCGGGTCATCCACTAATCGGAAGATCAGCGGTTTGATCCCCAGCTCCTGTAGGCTGCATTTCGAGTGTGTAAAAACTGAGTAGCAGGTGGCACCATGTTTGGCAGCCTCAGCCACCAGTGCGTGAATGTGTGTGTGTGAATGGGTGAATGTGAATTGTAGTGTAAAAAGCTCTTTGAGTGGTCAGATGACTAGAAATGAGCTGTACAAGTGCAGGTCCATAAACCTGGAATATGGTTAAGTCAAGGCTACGACTGAGACCTCTTTATTTTGGGTGATGTGGTGCCTTATGCTGCGTTCATATCATATTGGAGCATCGTAAATGAAGCTCTCGGTAAGAAAGTCAGGAAGACAACACTTTTCATGCTCAAGCTGTAAGTTTCTTTCTCACTCTGTGATTCTCTCACTGCACGTAAGCTCACCCACTATCTCTAGGTGACATTGTCTGCGTGGGTCAAATGAGTCATCAGCTGATTCACAATCATCAGTTACACAGCGACACACCTTCTGTGTCAGCCTATCATCTTACAGCTCCTCATTTTAAATATGATTCTTTCTTGCTGCAGTCGTGCACGCCCTCCTCCTCCTCCCCATCACCACCCAGTCTTTAAGGACTCATCAGCCTCATACGCCTCATCAGCCTCAGAGTCATCAGCCACCACCACCAGTGTCTGGACTCCACTGGGGGGGATTTATCCTGCTGCTGCTCAGATGTGCCTCGATCACAAAGGGCCAAAGACTTAATCAGCACAAACCACCTGTAAATCTGTACACTCATAGTCTGCATCTTTACTTCATTCTTCTGTTTCTCCTGATTGAAATACCAGTTTCTGTAAATACTGTTAAAAAAAAAATAGTCACAACTCAACATGGAAGCAGGTTTTTTCCAAAAGCTCCAATATATCAAATGTTGGGCAATAAAAATATAAAATGCTTGAAAAGACAAACATGAACGCCTCACATCAGCCTGTTAAATGTTATTAAATCCAAACATAATGATTTAGTGTTAAATATAACTTTATATTTTCTTGAGCATCTGTCTCAGGTCTTGTGGTGGACTTACTGTATGTTACTCTGTCAATAAAGTGTCAGGAATAATGAAATAATAAAACCCAAATCCTTCTGTTTAATCATAATCCATATCAAACCAGAAAAGAAGCATTTGTTGGCTCTAAAAGTCACATGAAGAACTCATGACCTTAATATTTCTTAAATCCCTGTTTCCTCCTGAGCTCGGGGTTAGTTTGAGTTCACACAGTCTTCCTCCTGCAGCACTTCCAGAACCTTTACTGCAGTAACAGTACTAATACCACACTGTAAAAATACTCCACTACAAGTAAAAGTCCTACATGTATCTAAAGTATTTAAAGTCATTCAGAAACTTTGGGGTCCCTTTGTTAACACTGTGCCTTCTTTGGATTCAACCAACCACAGTGATCATCATTTCTGATCCATTCATGAGTTTATTAACATGTGTTTGAACGTCCAAATGTGCCCTAGCTTTAGTTACAGTACATCCTCTCAGTGGCCACTTTATTAGGTACACCTTACTAGTACCAGGTTGGACCCTCTTTTTAATTCTTGGTGTCACAGATTCAACAAGTTGCTGGAAACATTCCTCAGAGATGTTGGTCCATATTGACATGATGACATCACACAGTTGATCCATAATGAGAATCTCCCGTTCCAGCACATCCCAAAGGTGCTCTATTGGACTGAGATCTGGTGACTGTGGAGGCCATTGGAGTACAGTGAACTCATTGTCATGTTTGAGATGATGTGAGTTTTGTGACATGGTTCGTTATCCTGCTGGAAGTAGCCATCAGAAGATGGGTACACTGTGGTCATAAAGGGATGGACACGCTCAGCAACAATACTCAGGTAGGCTGTGGTGTTTAAACCATGCTCAGTTGGTACTAAGAAAATCTCCCCCACACCATTACACCACCAGCAGCAGCCTGAAGCGTTGATACAAGGCAGGATGGATCCATGCTTCCATCTGAATGTGGTTTTTCCAATCTTCTATTGTCCAGTTTTGGTGAATTGTAGCCTCAGTTTCCTGTTGTTAGCTGACAGGAGTGGCACCTGGTGTGGTCTTCTGCTGCTGTAGCCCATCTGCTTCAAGACATCTGCAAGTTGATTTAGCATAAAAGCAGCAGTAAGAAACACTGTTGGATAAATATAAATACACCTAGAACTGTGTGTGTGCTTCATAACCAGCATTCCCAGCAGTGCTACATTTGTCACTCGTCTCACCTGCTCACCTGTTCAGACTACAGGCTCCTGCAGTGGATTGTGGGACACAGTGATTCTGGCACATTTTACTTTACTACAACAGATTTCACAAGCAAAGTTGTTACAATAAATGTGACGGGAGTTTTGGGTGTCAGCTGGTTGAATTAACAAACAGCAGATTCTGTTGATCTTCTGATGAACTGATTCCTCAGTTGTTTGTCTCTCTGGACACCAGGTGGCAGCAGAGATCAGCCAAACTGAACACAGTCTCCTTCCGTTCATCAGTCAGAGAGTTAAGAACATAACCTGTGAGAGGAGCTGCCTCCTAACCAGCTGATCTGTGAGGTCTGTCCTCAGTGGTGGAATGAGTACATTTACTCAAGTACTGTACTTTACTATTTGTCCTTGCATACTTCACTTACAGGTTCTGTATGTGACAGTCAGAGCATTAATGCAGCAGCAACCACAGTTATACCAGATATAGTGGAGCTAACAGCGTCCTGAGCAGACAGTGAAGTCACGCTCTGTCTGTGTGTGTTGTAATAGGAGCTCCTCTGTGGTTTGTAGTGGTCACACGGTACGGCTTCCACCACACATTAATGGTTGTTAAGGCTGATATCAGGATGGCGTCATCGTGAAAGCATAGTGCCCACCCTCTTGTTCTCCTCTGTCAGCACTGTTGCTCTGTTTTTACACTGAGTGTTCAAAGTGTGACGCTTCTTTATAAAGGATATGACCACAGGATAGGAGGGAGGGATAGAGTTGTCTCGCCTTTAAGCCAGCAGTGGAGGTAGTGACAGTGCCAAACCAGGGGTGCTGAGTAGCTCACCTGGTAGAGCAGGTGCCCAGTGTTCAAAGGCTGTGTCCGTGCTGCTGCAGCTGCAGGTTCAGTTCCAACCTGCGACCCTTTGCTGCATGTCATCTCCTCTGTTCCCAAAATTAGGGACACCAATTGTACACCAAATTAACACCTGTGTAAAAGGGACAGCCGGCAGAACCGGACCATGGATGGGACAAGTATGGGGAGAATTCAAAAACAGCTAGCAGCAGTTAGCAGCTAACTCGAAGATTAAGAACAGTGGCTGAAAATGTCCGCAAATTTGGAAAACAAGTTCTTGGATCTCCTTACCCTCCGAGCAGAGGACGAGGTCAGCTGCCATATAAAGGCCCTGACACACCAAGCCGATGGTTGGCCGTCGACCAAAGTCGGGCCGTCGGTGAGTGTCTGTCACCCTAGTTTTTGCGGTGTGTCCTGCACCGTCGGCACTTTGGCGTTGGCGGCTGTTCAGTTGAATGGGCATGTTGAATCGGCGGC